TGTTGGCCAGGCTGGTCTCGAACTCCTGTCCTCAAGTGATCCACCCGCCTCAGCTTCCCAGTGTTCTGGGATTACAGGCTTGAGCCACAGTGCCTGGCCTTTTTTCTTTTTTTTTTAATTTGTAGTCACTTCATTAACCTGACTACACAAATATAAGCAGCATATAACCAGAAAGTTACAACTAAACACAGATGACACGTGAAAATTTCTGTTCGCAAGTCACATATACAAGTACATGAAATAGAAGTTTAAGTGTAGAATTATGGCCAAACTATTTTTTAAAAAGCAGAAATGTAAAATTACCTCTTGAAAATATGAGAGATGGTGTAGCCCTCTCAAAAATCAAATATTCCTACAGGATCTCCACTGACTTTTAACAATTTGTTTTTTTCTAAGAAGCATTCCCTCAACCTAGCATTCCGTTGACTGATAACATTATTTATCTTTATCTCAGAGATGTAAAATCTTGTTTAGGATGTATATATGTGAGGATCTTTTAAAATTACTTTCTCTTAGAATATGATGATCTCTTTCAAACTGCTTATCAGCAAAGAAGTTTTTCTTCAATTGTATCATTGATTATTTCAACTCATCTAAGGTCATTTTACTATTGTCAGTGTTAACACCTGTAATTCTTAGGCTATTCTGTTTTCTCCATCCTCCGTAGTCATCATATTTACCCTCACTTCGTCTTTTTTTTTTTTTTTTTTTTTTTTTTTTTTTTTTTTTTTTTTTTTTTTTTTTTTTTTTTTTTGGCCAGTTTTTTCTTTCTTCCATGAGCTTTTCTCGTGTTTGTCCTGCTCATCATTGACTTATCCAGGTCAGAAACTCCTCATATATCCGTGTAACAAAATTACACTTGTATTTTAAGTGACCTGGATGAGATTGGAGACTATCATTCTAAGTGAAGTGATTCAGGAATGGAAAAGCAAATATCGTAACTTCTCACTGATATGTCAGAGCTAAGCTATGAGAACACAAAGACATAAGAATGATACAATGGACTTTGGGGACTTGGAAGAGTGGGAGGGGGATGAGGGACAAAAGACCATAAATATGGTGCAGCGTATACTGCTCAGATGGTGGTTGCACCAAAATCATACAAATCACCACTAAGGAACTTACTCATGTAACCAAATACCACCTGTACCACAATAACTTATGGAAAAATAAAATGTTTTAAAAATTACACTTGTATCCCATAAACTCATATGAACAAAATTTTAAAAAAATTAAAATCTTCTCCAATGTTTATTTTACTCTCTACTGTTTCTGCTATGCATTTTAATATAGATATCTTTGTTTTCTTTGTATATTTCACCTCCTTTCCTTTTCATCTAATTTTGGGTTTTTTTTTTTCCCTATTGTGTTACTTCTTTCTCTCAGGTATCATTTCCCTAGAATCTTTGCTCCTATTTTATAAAAAGCCTATTATATTATTGTAAATTTTTTTGTCAAAATTTCATTTTGCCTGCTATCTAAAATATATTTCAAAAGTGGGTTCCTCCTATGAGTGTTTAGATTAATGTAACTTTTCCCTTCCTGCATATTTATTGATCCCATGGTTTCTGATATTGGGACTGTTGTCTTATTTTGTTTATACTAATTATGAAAGAAGCAAAGATCTATTCAGACGTGGTGTTTGGCAACAAATCTCTGCAAATTGCTCTTGGCTTTTCTCACTGCCCATTTGGCTGTTAGTTCAATCCTGTGTTCAGATTAATTGCTGGGTCAAGGAGGGAGGATGGGAATGAGAGCATAATATGTTTTATATGGACCCCATTTCCAAGCATGCACTCATTTGCTTTAACTTTTCTGACTTGAAATGGAATTCTCTCTAATCCCTAGTGGCTAATTCTTTATCTCTCTAAACATAAATTCCCCAGTGTTTTCACTTATCAGAAATCAGGGCTTGTCCTATCTCCACCTTGCTCTGTTCACTAATTAGTCCACTTCCAAAATTGTTTTATTATGGAGACATAACTCCCACAAAGCAATGTTTACTGCTTTGTGAAAAAGGAAGATAAAGATGTTATATGTTCATAGTTTTCTGTCTGGTAGCAGCCTATCTATCCCAATGGGGTAGAAAGAAGTATTAAGAAAAATGTTCTAACTCCCAAACATAGGACTAAGCATTAGAGGAGAAGCTGATGGATTTTCTTGTTCATAATAGTTTAATCAAGATTTGAATTGAGGTCTGTTTGATTACATTGTCCAAGTTAATATGGTAGATGCTGCTTTTTGAAGCCAATACATCGCCTTAAAAAGATAGAGTCAGAAAACGTTTTTGTCTCATTTATACTACCCACACAAAAGAGGACACTTCCCTAGCCCTCAAAGATACAAACATCCACTCATAAAATCACACAGTCAGGTGGGTGCAGTGGTGAACACCTATAGTCCCAGCTACTCAGGTGGCTGGGGCAGGAGAATCAGGTGAGTGTAGGAGTTTGAGACCATTCCTGGAAACATAGGGAGACCCTGTCTCTTAACATAAAAAAATAGCAACACGACTTGTGTTCTAAATTCTATAGTAGCAATAAGGTAAAGGATAAAGCTTTCCAATACAAGTATTAGACACCTGTTCCTGTAATACAATAAACTCCTGTTTATATAGAACACTAAAAGAAATGGAGTATTTGACGTAAACAAGAACTGCAGGACATTAGGTGTGGTCTGATTCAAGCCGAGACAGCAGGAGTATCACTCCCTTTGGTCTGGATACTGAAGTCCTGTTAATTCAGCCCCAGATGAAATTATTCTCTCTTGGCAGGCTCAACACACTAGTGACTCATGTTGGGCTGGCAGTCAGCTGAAATCACTAATCCCTCTCACACGTGCAGCTGTTCAGCTACGTCTCCCCCATCCTGGCTTGTGCAGCTCTTCTTAGAGCCTGAATACTGTACCTTCATAGTCCCCAGAATAATTTAATTTACTAGTAGGGAAGATCCATACATAAGTTTGAATTGTTATTAATTTGCCCTTTAAGGCTACAGGACTAAATACAAAAGGAAGAGATGCAAAGAATTAGGAATAATGTCACTTTTTTTCCCAAACTCTCACATCTAATAAATCAACAATTTTCTTCTGTCCTCCTCCTGAATGGAGAAGAGATCCCACAAATTCTCTGCATTTATGTTATCTCTGGAACGGTCCCAGTGAGGAACTTGAGGGAATTCTTGAACAAAAGGCACAGAGGGGCCGGGCACGGTGGCTCGAGCCTATAATCCCAGCACTTTTGGAAGCCAAGGTAGGTGGCTCACCTGAGGCTAGAAGTTTGAGACCAGCCTGGCCAACACAGCGAAATCCCATCTCTACTAAAAACACAAAAATTAGCCGGGCATGGTGGCAGGTGCTTGTAATCCCAGCTGCTCAGCAGGCTGAGGCAGGAGAATCTCTTGAACCCAGCAGGTGGAGGCTGGAGTGAGCTGAGATGGCGCCACTGTACTCCAGCCTGGGCAACAGAGCAAGACTCCATCTTAACAACAACAACAAAAAAGGTACAGAGGGACTACAGGTCCCTTAGGATGATCACCTATTTCACCTCAGACTTCACTCCAAATGTTGGTATGTTCCACTGGGAAAGGTGGCTTCCTCCTTCAAAATGACTGGTCCACACTAACAAGAAACGAACATTTTCTGAACATTGCTGTATTTATTTAGGTTTAGGCATTTTATGTGCGTTATTTTATCATTGCAACAACCTTGTAAGTTATATATTATACATTTTTTCTTTTATTGTGACTGAACCAGAATTACAGAAAGAATAAGGATATTATCCCAGGTTACACAGAAAGTAAATAAGAGAACCAGGATTTAAGCCTCACATTGTCTGAATTTAAGGCCTAATCTATTCAATGTACCTCACAGATACTGCTTGTCAAAGTACAGAAAGCAACCAACCCTAGGAGAAAAGCTCTAGGGTTTAAAAATTAAGCAAAAAACTACCCTCGGGGGAAGATAAAAAGGTAGTATAGTTACTTTGGTCTTAGTTTCCAAAGCAATGCCAAACTCATAATAGGTACTCAATAAATTATTGCAAAGTAATAAATGGCCAGACAATGGTCAGATATTTTCAGTGTTGCTCATTAAATCTGTAACATTCAATTAATCAGCATGAATTTATTAAGCTCTTCTATGTGTGCAATACCTTGTGGGGTATCATTAGATATGCAATAAATTAAGACAATCTAATTTTGGCGAAACTTAATATACATAACCAACACTCTCCAATTTTATCAAGTACAAAAACGCTTGATACCAACTGTTGAAGTTATATATTTGGAAATAGAATGCTCTAGGAGATTTTGCGTGGAGGTATCACGGAGCACATAATTCTCATATGATGTCATCCTTGAAGAATTCATAGAAGGTTAGTGCCTTCCAGGGGAGGAAAGAATCATAAGGAAGGAGACCATAAGTATAGAATGTTTTCAGGAAAGGAAGAAAAAGGGATATAGGAGTAGTGGGGAATTATTGTAATGGTTCTAGTAATGTTGGCTGCTGTCATAAATAAGCTCAAAATTTATAATCCATGGAAAATCTTACAGAGAAGCTCTTTAGAACTAGCTCCAGTCGTGCAAAACAACATTTCCACTCTCCTTCCATTGACCAGAACTCAAATATGTGATCACACCTCACTGCAAAAGAAGGTGCCCATCTGTGTCCCCAGGAGATGAGGAAGTGTTTCTGGTGAGTACCTAATCAGTCTCCAACAGAAATGAACTGATTTGACAAAAAAACTGAAACACACAGAGCTGAAAGTCAAGAGACCTGCTCTCTTTCTGATCTCTTTGCACTTGCATTTTCTTAATTGCAAAATGGAGCTAATGACCCTTGCTAGCACACTCATAGGGATGTTGCTAGGAGACCCAAAAGAGATTATGAATATATAATTTCTTGGAAACTTTGAATGGTTTCTGATCATTTGTATGATACTGAGTTGGTTTCTCCTACACTAGGAAACTGCTATACTTTAGCTATATAAAAAGAATGGAGAGTACAAAATAAGTTCAAGGATCAATTTGAGCAAGAAAGTTGAACTGGTAAAAACAAATAAAAATAAAAATAAGATACTATCCTTTCAAAACTAATTATTGATACAAAAATGTCACCTATGATTTAGGCAAATTTTTTGTCTAATATTTAGTACCACATAGTACTAATATAATAGTACCACATTTTTCTTAGTACTCAGAAAATACATACCTAGGTCATACTTATGAAAGGGAATTCTGGCAGTGAGCATGTAGGACAAAAGGAAGACAGAGCAGAACAGGAAGAGGCACTGTGGAAGGCTGGAGCATGCTATTTACCTTACACCAGTACATTTTGTACATTATGGTATTTAATTATGAAAAAAATTATGAGATGGCCGGGTGAGGTGGCTCAACCTGTAATACCAGCACTTTGGGAGCCAAGGTGGGTAAGTTAAGAGTTCAAGACCAACCTGGCCAACATGGTAAAACCCTGACTCTACTAAAAATACAAAAAATTAGCTGGGCGTGGTGGCACATGCCTGTAATTCCAGTTACTCAGGAGGCTGAGGCAGGAGAATCACTTGAACGTAGTAGGCAGAGATTGCAGTGAGCTGAAATCGTGCCACTGCCCTCCAGCTGGTACAACAGAGCAAGATTCCATCTCAAAACAAAACAAAAATGTCAAAAATCATGAGGTATTTATTTCGTAAAGTCGAAAGTAAAAGTTCATAGAAAATATGTCAGTTGGATAATATTTCATTGCCAGTGGTTAGCAGAAGAAGAGTTTGAACCTGAATCAAATTCCAAATTCATTCGTTTCCCCCTACTCCTCATTTCTGCCATTAATTAGTAAGGTAGGGGAACTTTGGAAGAATTAACCTTTCTTGATTGCAAGTTTCTTTAGTAGAATCAGATTCAGGATCCTAGAGCATACAGGGCCATTAGAAACCAGCTGTAGTCAAATGTCCTACTCTAACAGATGAGAAAACAAGGAACAGAAAGGGGAGGTGCCTTGCCCAGGATCAGAGAGTATTTTAATGGCAGAGCCAGACCTAGAAAAACCCAGATCTCCTGATTTATGGTCCATTACAAAAGTTTTGACTGGGGAACTGTTTTTTTAAATAGTAGCTTTGCTATAAAGTCACACACTGGTCACAGATATATACATCTAAAAATTTCTCCAGATTCATGTCTCTGCTGTGGGTTTTTGAGACAGGATCATACTGCAAAGTAGAGCTGAGTTAGTGGGTAGTTTCTGACTTAAGGCTCCACAAGTGGGGTGGTATGAGCACTGAGCTGGTTGAAATTACAAGCAGCCTCAGTTGTATAAATGAGTCAGAATTACTTTTTTTTTTAACTTTTATTTTAGGTTCAGGGTATATGTGCAGGTTTGTTCTATAGGTAAACTTGTTTCATGGAAGTTTGTGTTTACCTATAGAAGAAACCAGCCTGGTATCCAATAGTTACTTTTTCTGATCCTCTCCCTCTTCCCACCCTAAATTATGCCCCAGTGTGTGTTGTTCCTCTCCATGTGTCCATATGTTGTCATCATTTAGCTCCCATTTAGAAGTGAGAACGTGCAGTATTCGGTTTCCTGTTTGTTCCTGCATTAGTTGCTAAGGATGATGGCCTTTAGCTCCTTCTACGCGCCTGCAAAGGACAGGATTTGACTCTTCCTATGGCTGCATAGTATTACATGATGCACACATATCACATTTTCTTTATCCATTCTACCATTGATAAGCATTTAGGTTGATTGCATGTCTTTGCTATTGTGAATGATGCTGCAATGAACATACATGTGTCTTTATGGTATAATAATTTAGATTCCTTTGGGTATTTGCCCAGTGATGGGATTACCGGTCAAATGGTAGTTCTATTTTTATCTCTTTGAGGAAATGCCACAATGTTTTCCACAATGATGGAACTAATTTACACTCCCACCAACAGTGTATAAGCATTCTAGAGTAAGCATTCCCTTTTCTTTGCAACCTCCATAGCATGTTATTTTTTGGCTAGTTACAGTTCTTCTTTTTCTTCAACTTTTGAATTCTGTGGTACGTACATGTGCAGGATGTGCAGGTTTGTTATATAGGTAAACCTTTGCCTTGGTAGTTTGCTGCATAGATCAACTAATCACCTAGGTATTAAGCCCAGCATCCATTAGCTATTCTTCCTGATGCTCTCCCTCCTTCCACTCCTCAACAGGCCACAGTGTGTGTTGTTCCCCTCCACATGTCTATGTTTTCTCATCATTCAGCTCCGGCTTAAAAGGGAAAATGTTTGGTGTTTGGTTTTCTGTTTCTGCATTAACTTGGTGAGGATAATGGCTTCTAGCTCTGTCCATGTCCCTGCAAAGGACATGAACAGCTGCATAGTATTCTATGGTGTATAAGTACCACATTTTTTAAATCCAGTCTATTATTGATGGGCATTTGGATTGATTCCATGTCTTTGCTATTCTGAATAGTGTTGCAATGAACATATGCATACATGTATCCCTATGACAGAATGATTTATTTTATGTATTTTATTAAGACCAAGTCCCAGTCTGTCACCCAGGCTAGATCCAAACTATATCAGCAACCTTGCCAGCATCTGCTGTTTTTTGTTTTTTTTTTTTTTTTTTGTGGAAATGGAGGCTTGCTCTGTCACCAGGCTGGAGTGCAGTGGCAAGATCTCTGCTCACTGCAACCCCTGCCTCCTGGGTTCAAGTGATTCCCCTGCCCCAGCCTCCTGAGTAGCTGGGACTACAGAAGCACACCACTGTGCCCAAGTAATTTTTTGCATTTTAGTAGAGACGGGGTTTCACCATGTTGGCCAGGCTGGTCTCGATCTCCTGATTTCATGATCTGCCTGCTTTGGCTTCCCAAAGTGCTGAAATTACAGACGTGAATCACCTCACTCAGCCTGTTTCTTGATTTTTTAATCACCATTCTGACTGGCATGAGATGGTATCTTGTTGTTTTGATTTGCATTTTCCTAATGCTTAGTGATGTTGAGCTTTTACTCATGTTTGTTGGCCACATGACATGAATGTCTTCTTTTAAAAAGGGTTTATGTCCTTTGCTCACTGTTTAATGGGGTTGTTTGGTTTTTTCTTGTAAATGTGTTTAAGTTCCTTGCAGACTCTGGATATTAGACCTTTGTCAGATAAATGGATTGCAAGAATTTTCTCCCATTCTGTAGGTTGTCTGTTCACTCTGATGATAGTTTCTTTTGCTGTGCAGAAGCTCTTTAGGTTCTATTTGTCCTGTTTTTGCTTTTGCTGTAATTGCTTTTGGCGATTTTATCATAAAATCTTTGCCCGTGCCTATGTCCTGAATGGTATTGCTTAGATTTTCTCCTAAGGTTTTTATAGTTTTGGGTTAAGACTTTAATCCATCTTGAGTTAATTTTTGCATAAGGTGTAAGGAAGGGATCCAGTTTCAATTTGCTGGTCAGGACTATTAAGGGAGTTACAGAATTGACTACCTGGTGTGTTAAAAGGGACACTGGGTTGGGAGCTAGGAGATGTGGCTCTCAGGCTTGAGTGCCCCTGACTACCTTTGTGGCCTTAGCCCTCATTTCACTTTTCTGTGCCACAGCCCTCTGTTACTGTTCACTTTGTAAAGTAATAGATAGATAACTGATAGTAACTGATCTATGCACTATCTTCCAGGCTACTTTGCATTATGTAGAAAATTAATGTACTGAAGCAAACAGCCTATCTTTTATCACGACCACTACTTTCTAAAGTGTACACACACACACACACACACACACACACACACACACACACAATATATATATATGAAGGAATATTTACCAATTTCAGACAGGTATAGGTATACTTATGATGCAAATGTACATTTTAGGTGTGCTAATATTTTTTATTGTGAGAGACACACTAACAGACCTCTTATGTGCTAAAGTGATTTTTCAAACAAACTAATAATAACAAAAATGATAAGAATGAACTACAGTGTATTTCATGCTTTATCTTATTTCCTTCAAAATAATCCTATAAGTTGAGTAGCTGACATTTTAGAAAACCAAGGCTCAGAAAGGTTATGCGTCTTAATGACTATCACACAGAGTGGAGACTAGTTTTGATCTTAACTATGATCAAATATGCAAAACACTATGTGTAGGTCCCCTCAGCATTACCTAAGAGCTTGTTAGAAATGTAAAATACTAGGCCTTGTGTGGTGGTTCATGCTTGGGAGGCTGAGACAGGTGGATCACCTGAGATCAGGAGTTCGAGACCAGCCTGACTAACATGATGAAACCCTGCCTCTACTAAAAATACAAAACTAGCTGGGAATGGTGGCTCATGCCTGTAATCCCAGCTATTTGGGAGGCTGAGGCAGAATTGCTTGAACTTGAAAGGCAGAGGTAGCAGTGAGCCAAGATCACACCATTGCACTCCAGCCTCAGCAACAAGAGAGAAA